TGTCATAATGTTGATGTACGAGAATTGTTGCTATGTGTCATTTTCGTAAATTCATGTGGAAAATTAGAATAATTCTAATTGATGATTTTTGTAATATTTACTGTTGTATATAGTGCCCAAGTTTTATTTATTTTTAACTGATATACATTTATATTGATTATATTTATATTGTATATTTATTGATTATATTATATTTATTGATTTTTATAATTTCAGTACACTAGAAACAATTGTTTATAAACTTTCCTTTCTTGCTTGTATCTAAAACGAAGATTTTGTCTTTTGCTCGGTGGTTTAAGTTGGCTTTATAATCTAATTTCCGTTGCAAATTTGCGACAATACGAATGACATAAAAGTTTGAAGTTTAATGCACTTTTGATTGATTGCAATCGTAGTTGATTTCGTGTGAAAAAAATGATTGTTTATACTCAATTTATTTGAATGGTTATTTGTTATAGACGTGTTAGTGCAGCTGTAACGAGCATCCACTTATTTGATTGTGAGGCGATGAGGACTCGTTTGTTATAAAAATGGCGCGCTGTGTGTATGCTTCATGTACATTATTGCTCTTGCTGGCAAGTCAAGTTCCAGTTTTTTGTTCATTTATAACTTGTTCGGATAAATTTCTGCGGGGCCGGTAAGCTCCAAGCCGCCCGCGCAGTTAATTAAACTGCAAATGTCTGGACATGTGCCAACTAATCAGGCTTTTTAAGGTACCCTGATGTTATTGTTAGTAAAGACTAATCTTGTTAGCATTAGAAACGAGTAAACTTGTGATCAGAATTTGATGAATTTTTGTCTGAAATGCTTCCGGAGACACTGCTGTAAATGTACATTTTATAAATCCCAAATTTTATGAGAGAGCAAAACGCATTCGTGTCCTAAAATTGATCCGGAATATGCTTTTAATTCCATGTCGTATATTGCCGTTAAAGATTGTCTCCAAAATAAAAAAAATTAACTTGTTATATTTCTGGTATAGCATCACGATCATAAACTTCTCAATGTCTAAACTAAACTTTGTTTTAGTGAACATCTAACTTGCCCGGATCGTGTCTCGTCTCTCAATAAACTTTATTGCTCATATCTTCGAGACAAATGAGCGAAATTTCGACATCAAACCTGCATGAGTATTAAAACAAAATTTCTGGAATTTTATCCTATTACGAACAAGGATTCGTAAAATTTTGGGAGAAAGCACTGATATCTTCAATGAATAGGGAACTGGTCGGTCTGTGTATAAAAGCCCTTTAGGTTGCTTTGAAAAATACCACGCAAACGCGACATTAACTGCGTTTCTTATTACGTGTATTGTGGCATTTTGACGGTTGTAAAGGCACAATATCTCCACAAATTTTATTTAGCCTTGATCACTCTGCTTCTTCCCTAATTCCTTCTTTACCAATACACAACTGGGACATCACTTTCTCGTCGCTTGCATTTATATTCGGTATAGTTGATTGATACCCTATCTAATTCTTGTTATTTTCTTTGATCATTCGGCTCTATGACTATATACTTATTCCATCCCTTGGGTAATAAAAATATCCTTTGGTAATTGCTTTCCCCACACATAAATATTTTATTAAACATCTTCTGTCCGTTTTCGTTGGTCACATGCGTTCAACTAAAGAATTTTAGTGAAAGCAAAAGTTGCTGCAACAGACGCAGTAAAAATTTCTCAGATTTTTGTGGCTCAGCCGCTTCGCTGAACTGTGAGGCACTTTCATATGCGTCGTCGACATTTGCCTGACTTAATCCTTATCCGGCCCGACATGTAGCTTGAACTGCTCCCTCCTCAATTACCTCTCTCAGCCGTCAACAAACTCTTGCAATTTATCTCTTTACAGTCGGCATTTGCATACAATCATTTTGCAGCAAAAGTTGCTTCTCTAGGTAACAGGTTGAACGCGACCTGATGGCTGGAAAAAGCAGTCGTTCAAAGTGAGGGACCATCTAAATTTGTTCCATGCAATTACACTGAAAATGACTTGATTTCTTCAATTCCAAATAAATGCAGATGTATACATAGATCAGTATTAATTTATTTTTATTTTCTGCCATAAAAAATTCAATCACAAAACTTCAACTCATCAAATGAGTTGAATTCGTTGGACTTTGATTCATATGGAGACGTTTGAGTTGAAACCTCGTAGGTATCTGTCAGTTAAACATATGTAATCACTTTGAACGTTATAACTCGTACCTATGTACCAGTTTATATAACGTTTACATCGGTATAAAGCTGGTAATATTTTTCTGTAAATATATACAGTGCATATGTTAACATTATTAATAGATTCCGAGTACATATATATACTTTCCACGTTTTGTTGAACATTTCATTTCAATTGTTACTTCAGAGTGATGCAGCTACCAATTAAAAAAACTTTTGTTTCCATTTCGTTTTGATTTTGTTGTTTGCTAAAATTTAACCTTCAACTTTATTATTGTGGTTGTAAGATGTACGATTTCTATTGTTTACCAGCTAATGTCAAAAAATGCGTCGACGTTTCGACATCAGAGTAAAAGTAGAAAAAGCTTCTGCTGAATAAATTAGGTGCATCTGTCACAAGAAGTATTATTCGGGGAAATTACAATCGAGGGCACCGATAGTGTTATGATTTAAACTGACATACACTACCACGTAGATAAAAAGGTAGCAAGTTTTGACGAAACAACAATAAGACGCCAACAGTTGAATAACAATGAGACGCCAACAGTTCCTGGTTCGAATGGATTTGTTGACACTACCAGTCAAATTGAAAATCAGTCAGGGTTCTGTCTAGGAAATCTGAAATAATTGTGACGCAAAAGGCGATATCTGTTCAAATGAGAGCATCCGTGCGGGTGCATCACATCATAATGAGAGCATCCGTGCGTGTGCATCACACCATAAGAGAGCATCCGTGCGGATGCATCACATCATAAGAGAGCATCCGTGCCTGTGCATCACATCATAAGAGAGCATCCGTGCGTGTGCATCACACCATAAGAGAGCATCCGTGCGGATGCATCACATCATAAGAGAGCATCCGTGCCTGTGCATCACATCACAAAGAGAGCATTCGTGCAGTTGCATCACATCATGAACGAGAGCATGCGCTATTCTGCCTATAGTAAAAACCTCTTTGTCAAGATAATCTCTCAGTAGAATAACAAAGATTTGTGAGGCCGTCATGTTTACAGACTGTTGCAAGCCTGGGAGTCTCGCGATGTTTCTGGTCAGATGAAAACTATTTTCCCCTTCCTCGACCGGAGAAGCTCCGAGGGTGAGCAATTTGTAACAATATATATAGAGATAGCGTCATTCAATTATATAAATAAGGATGGTTATAAACAATCTGACGGTGGGTACACAGTTTGTACCAGATATCATACATATTGCGCAGAAGTCCTTTCTTAAACATGTTCCTTGTGAAATTCTGTGTACTAAGTCATTTTCAAATGCCATAGGTGTAGTTCACAGAACTGTTAATAAAATTATAGCAATTGAAACTTCAGCTTTGTGTGATACATTATGATGCTGAGATGACTGTGAAGACTATCACATACTATGACGGTGTTGTAATGACTGAAACCCCTAACGATTAAGCTCGCATTTTGAACTTATAGCCTCGTGGAGTACAACATATACATTTGTCTTGGGCGTCGTTTATAGCTCCCTATATATTTAAATTTTCACGTTTGAGCGATGGCTTTCCTTACAATTCGTTCATCTACGACTTTTTTATAGACTCTACAGAATAAATTTATTCTTTCAACTTGAAATTACATGAGAAATTAACACTCTACAGTGGGTTATATTATTTCCCTTGAACGCAAATTTGTATCTTGGATCAACCAATTAATTACCTACTTTAGAATTTTATATTCATTTGTACTTACTCCAGTTCTCCTGCCCACTGCGGCATCGTTGAGCTGAGCTCGTATTTTTACAAGGAATTCAAGAACAGAACAGAACCTCTGTGACACAGCAGACAAAGAGCCTCAACTGACGCGAAGTTTATATATTTTATATACATATATAGATATATTATATACATATTATATAATATTATTTATACACTATAAATGCCAATTATATATGCAAACACCAACTATAAACACTTCGGTCAGTTTGATTGACACATGAACGGATGTATTGATCGCACATTATTGCTCAATTCGATCGTAAATTAGGTGTGAGAAAATGTCAGTTCCTTCCTGCAGTTTGAAATTTGAAGCCTTACTAAAAACTACACAAATAAATCTAAAATTTGTATATTTAGGGTAGGGCCCCTCTTTTAGACAAGTTTGATGAAGAAGAATGTCATGTTTAATAGTAATAATTTCAAGTTTTCATTCGCAATTTTTTATTTTGTACATATAACTTTCCACATTAAAACTCACTCCTGCTTTTGTTTTCGACCTTCTACTACTACTACTACTACTACTACTACGCTAGCAGTTCATATTGAGCAACGTACTTGAAATAATTTTGGAAGCACTTCAATAATTGCAATCTAATCTAAGGAGAGGCTAACTCCTGCCAAAGGCCATAAATAAGTTATACGCGAGATGTATCTTCATCACACCTCGTCACCAATCCTGCTCGTGCCAGCAAAACTTGTCTTCCTTTATCCTCGTTACAAGTAAACGCTTAATTTTGTCTCTTTTTGATATTTTTATCAATTAATATACCGTGCGATAGTTAACTTCGTGTACGTCTATATTGTTGCTCAAGGGCTCAGCCTCTGGCTAGGCCCATGCAGAGACCTGGTCCCGGTGCCCGTCGTCCTACCATGTGCTCGGCTAGGCCCGTACAGAGACCTGGTCTCGGTGCCAGACGTCCTACCATGTGCTCGGCTAGGCCCGTACAGAGACCTGGTCTCGGTGCCAGACGTCCTACCATGCGCTCGGCTAGGCCCGTACAGAGACCTGGTCCCGGTGCCAGACGTCTAACCCTGTTCTCGGCTAGGCCCGTACAGAGACCTGGTCTCGGTGCCTGACGTCCTACCATGTGCTCGGCTAGGCCCGTACAGAGACCTGGTCCCGGTGCCAGACGTCCTACCATGTGCTCGGCTAAGCCCGTACAGAGACCTGGTCCCGGTGCCAGACGTCCTACCATGTGCTCGGCTAGGCCCGTACTGAGACCTGGTCCCGGTGCCAGACGTCCTGCCATGCGCTCGGCTAGGCCCGTACAGAGACCTGGTCCCGGTGCCAGTCGTCTAACCGTGTGCTCGGCTCGGCCCGTACAGAGACCTAGTCTCGGTGCCAGACGTCCTCCCTATGTGCTCGGCCAGGCCTCTACAGAGACTTGGTCCCGGTGCCAGGCGTCTAACCGTGTGCCCGGCGGGGGCCAGAATGCCGAGTCTTGACACTGTGCCAGAGTTACGACTGAAGAGGCTGCGTATCGCCTTAATTGCTTCAATTAGGGCCTGTGACACGGCACTTACGGCCACACTCGACAAACGGGCGAAATGAAGCAGCAAGATGTCCTCATCTCCACCTACTTCTTCACGAGATTCCTGGGACTAAATTTGCTCTTCCTTCTTTATAGTGAAGCTGAAGAGAAGTTCTATGATGTACATTGGCTCAAGACTTTGTGCATGTGTTTTACCTGTTAGTGTATTAACCGTTATGGGCTACAAGCCAGTGACTGGATACGTTTCATTGTCATAAATTGCGGAATTCATAACATTTTCAAGAATATCTTGCCTCAAATAATTGTTTTCTTTCAAACTAACTAGAATGGCGATCGTTTTTTATCCGAAACCGATAGTCTTTTAGGCTTGACTTCTTAGGGCGGCTGTGTTATTGAGATTATTTTAATTAAGTGTCCACAGTTGCGTCTCCGCATAATAGCGCCCCGTCCATATATAAAGCAATTACCAGCGTAAACGTCCAACCACGCATTTTAAATCGTACTGTCTTGAACTGATAATGAAAATGCGTCTCCACACTTATATTCACATTACTTTGCACCAAGTGTTACACAATTTTTTACTGTTTGCTCTGCTTAAATTGAAAGGTAAGAGTCCGTTTTTTTTCAAGCGTACAATAGAAACTCTTTTCATCTTGTCAGTGTTGACTGTTGATGCATCAAACTTCCATCAATTACGCGCATTACGTCGGCAGGCGTAATTATTTATGTAATAACTTACGTAAAATGTCGTTCGAATATTTTCGCTGACATGTAAAGAATTGGTACTTCACAAATGAGGCTGATGGGAGGATAATTCTGACTTTTCGCTCATCGTCGCCATGTGAATTAGGATTTGAACCGTTTATTAAATCTCAGTGCATTAATGACTGCTAGGCTTATGCGTGGTACAGTTTCTAAACATCGTGTTATAGCTGCTGAGGCGAATAATAATAGGCGAATATAGAAATTTCACGGAAGAAATATTTTGGATATTGAAATTTAGCTTGTCTTTCCGAAGCTGTCGTATATTTAACGTGTGGGCTCTTTTTTGCATCTCTAAAGATTGACAAGAGACAAGATTACGAGCGCTTATGCGACTAAGGTCGCAACGTTGCTATATATATATGTTTCAGCGCTAGATTTTCTTGCTTAGTTCATGCGATTGCATATTCCGCTCCGCGAATGCGTGAGCTCACGGATCCAGACTAACTCAATGCGGATTCCGGGTGTGCGTTACTGTGCGTTCGTCCTCTCTAGTTGACCCGTCAATATAAAGATTGTCTGCTCGCAACAGCCTGAGTAAGCGGATGGCCGAGACCCCGATGGCTGGGATCCGTGCGAGACTGAGCCCAAGAGAAGCTCTGTCCGTAAATTGATTCCAGCCAAGTCTTGAGATGCTGGCGAAACGTGAGATGATTTTCGGATGCTCCTTGGGTTGTCCTTAACGTAAAAAAATCTTCAGTTGCCTGTACATGTTTTTGGTCAGCCTGCAAAGCTGATTTCTTTCGGTCGCTGAGATTGTGAGCCTAAAAAATTTACACACTTTATTGCGTTTCCAGATGCGTTTGCAACGAACTGTGAAGATATCCTCGCTGTTGCAGCCGTGGTGCTTGTCGGAACAAAGTTTTAAAGTGTTTTCAGATCTTGGAACATTCTGCTGAAAAGATGACAGCAGGTAGTCATGCAGCAACACTGAAAAATTTCCTAAATACAGGGTGATTTACGGTAACTTCCTGATTTGAAAGCTCAATAAAAAAGAACTATTGCTGATTTTATAACAATAAAAATTTTATTGAAAAATATACTACCTGATTTTTTGTATAATTTAGTTCTAAAGATGTCATCTGAGAAATGAAGGCCCCCCCCCCATTGTCAACGCGTTCAGTTAGTCGATTTTTGAAGTTCCGTTCAACCCGCTGTAGCATATTGACGGGTATGTTGGCTATGTCTTGGTGTATGCAGTTCCAAAAATTAGGTAGGGTCCTTGAACAGTCATTGTAAACAAATGATTTGAGAAAACCCCCATTAAAAACACACGAAGCAAATCGAGAAATCGGGCCGGCCAATTAAATGATCACCTCTCAAGGAGATGAGGCGCCCTGCAAAATTTTATCTCAGAGAAACCATTGAACATCGCGCTGTGAGGGCCGTGGCTCCATTCTGTTTGAACCACATGTCCGTGACATTCATTTCAGCCAGTTTGGCAAAAAAAGACGTCAATCATTTGCGTGTACCGAGCTGCAGTCACCGTTACTGCGCGTTCGTTTTCCTCAAAGAAATAATGAGCCAATTGTGCCGACTTTTGCACCCCACACCACACAGTTGCGCGTTCACAATGAAGTGGCCGCTAATGGAGTCCACGCTGATCGTTTTCACTCCAATAACGCATGTTTTGCTTGATTGCACTGCCTGAAATGTAAAAGTGAGCCTATCACTAAATAAAACGACTGCATCGTGAGGCAATTTTTCAAGAAGGAACCGAGTGCGGAATGCTCGTTGAGTAGTGATAATGGAATCGCCATTAGAAAAGTACGCCTCGACAGCAAACGCACGCTTCTCATTTGTCCAATGCATAGTAGCAATTGACTAGGCGAGACACAAAACTTCATGACCTTGCCTTCCATATGAAATACTTTTCGCCCTTTTCCTACCACATCTGGCTGATTGACGCGAAATACAAAATTTTGAGTTTCCGTGAACCACCCTGCATGTACTTTGTGAGGCTTAATTGTTCGTTTTTATGACATTATCTTAGGTCTGGCACGAAATTACTTTATATGCTGGAATGAAATGATGAGCGTGCCTCTTCAGTCTTCCGATGACGCTGAATTTATAAACAAATTGATTATAAGTAAATGCTAACAACAGGATCTCTAAACAGCCTCAATGAGTTATCCATGAGAGAATCGGCAATTTACGTCGAATCGAGCAAATCGTTCAAGATATCGTATGCGCAAATCGTTGTGTCTCCAAATCATAAATATAGTCATCAGAAAATTTAAGATACTTACGAGCGCTTAACAGCATTACCATTGTATGCCACTGATCAAATTCAATTTTTATACTGACATAAGTATTAAAGATTTTTTGAACTTTTCAATTATGTGGAGCGCCCGTTAATGCGCCCAATAATGTGGAGCGCCGCCCGTTAAATTGCTTAGGCCTCTTTTGCCCTGGACGGCGGCAAGCAAGCATATTTTGCACTAATTGACTTGGCGGTGCGCAATGTATTATGGTCACGTCCCTGGGCCCCACGCGCTGTGGTCGTATAAGCTAAGGGCCCCTCCAAGAGCTCTTTGGGGAGGCGTCCTTCATAGGCGACGATGAGCTGCTCTCTCAATAGACTTCCCGAGGTGTGACCTTATCAAATTATTGCCAGTGCGGCAGCTAAGCTCCTCGTTACGATAGTTGTTGTGGTCGTTTCTTGTTTATTGCCAAAAAATAAATATATTCGTTCTTGTTCAAACAGTTAATTTTAAAATATTGTGCCCTTTGAATTGGTGTTGAGCAGTGAATCATGCTGTTAAATGCTGTTAATTTGGTTTTCTGTCATTTAGAAGCTTGTCATTTGCCTACAGCTAGGCATCTGATAATAGTTCCAAGATATTTATTTAATCTTGGATGCTGGTCCCAATTCCTTTTTATTGTGGAATTAGTCTTACGTTAGTCACTTGAGTTGTTTATTCACTTATGTCGCCGTCGTGGCCTAAGGAGAAGTCGATTCACTAATCTTTGATTGAAGCTTTTTGTACTGCTCCTTCAGCCTGAATGTTCAGAGTGTTCTGTCCTTAAATTGCTTGCCTGTTTTCGTTTTATAATATGTTGATGTAATGTACCAGATTCTTACGCTTTTATCATTTGTACTAGTACTAGCTTTACCAAATGCATTTCTTCTTTTTCCCTCATTCATCATGTTCAATTTGGTATCACTCTGTCAGCTCTATTTTTTGGCCGTTCTTTGAATCATTAGTTTATAGTTTTGGTTAGATGGTTGAAGTATATATATATATATATATATGTGGTTGAGCTCATAACAGAGACTATATTCGCAGGTGTAGTTTTAATGGTAAAAAATTCTGAAGTCGGCGCATGATATGTCAAGATTATCAACACTGTGAAAATAATTTCAGTTTATGGAGAGTTGTAATGCGTATTTTCTGACTAGGATAGTTTGAGGATGATTGAAAATGTGGAGTGGATTATTTCATTGATTATTGTGAATTTTTCAAAATATAATGGACATACGAAGCATTTGATTACCATGACAATTTTGTAACATAAAATATAAAAATTTTTACCACTTAATTTTTCTACGGTAGATGTTGTTCTTTCAATAAAGTTGATAAAGAACAGGTTTGTCATGTAATAAGAAGATTCAGGTCGTATATCCTAGCAGTTGGACGGACGTACACTATTTAATTAGTACGCTAAAAATGACGACTGTAACCACTTTTGTGTTTACGAGCATCAGGTCTGGCATTGCTATCATCCCTCAATTAATTGGTATGGTTTCTCTATGCCAAACTCTACTTGAATTGGGCCTAAACTTTTATCCAAATTAAAAGACCTTAATTAGACTGCAAACCAATCTCAAAAATGTTGTTTTCATTTATTTATATTCTAAAATAGAATACTGCAAATATATAGAATCTAGTGTATTTGTGACTTTTAGATGACATGACAGGCGAGGTTTTAGAAGTTAAGGTAAGGTTATCAATTATTTCTTATATAAAATAGTGGCTTTTCTATACAACTAGCTTCTCTAATTAGCTATCTCAAATTAAGCATATCAGGCTTCTCAAGCAAAGCATATCAATTGACCCCAACTTACGAGCGCTTGATATCATAACAAATTTTTAAAGCGTCAACAAAGTAGCATCTACTGTGTAAGTTAATAATTCATGATATTTTTTAATGTCATTCGTTCATTCGTGGGAAGATCAGCTAAATTTTATTGGCTGCAACTACAACACGTAAACGAACAATGTTTACGAATCAGGTAAAAAACTATCGGTGCACATATGTTTGTTTCGTAGCTCACACGCAACTGTCTTAACGATCCCAAAGCTTATTTTCATCGCCATATCTCATAGGACTAAAAGTCAACTGGACAACTGATTCTTGAAAGTACGTATATTTTACTTACGTTTAACCTGTTTGCACTGAATCCTCCCAAGCAACGCTTGGCTTCATCCAC